AATCACCAAATATGAACGACAATGAGATGGAATCTGATTGGATATCAGATTATAGACCAGCCGAGTTAAGAAAATTTGAATCTGATTTAAGACTATCGGATATTCGACAACAAATAAATGATATTTCGATGTTTTCGGCTGAATCTTATCAAAATCTAGTTATATGGCTGCAAGAAGTCGAGGAGCCATTAAATCTAGCTAAGATTACTGACCAAACGAAATATGAAAAAGTTATATCGAAATTGGGCGGAGAGGCGAAGATATGGTTTCAAAATAATCGATCCCTACTGGAAACATGGCTTGCATTAAAAGATGGTCTCAAACAAACATTTTCATCGTCCTGGCAATCAGATGCAATATTTAAAAAACTAAATGATAGACGACAAGCTATCGATGAATCAGCATTAAAATATGTAAATAATGTTATACAGTTATGCCACCAGTTAATCCACAAATGGATAAAAATACTGTAATGAAATACCTTAAAGTAGGATTGAAACAATCATTACAATCATTTGTTGCATTGAAGGAACCGAATACGCCCCAGAAATTTTTACGAGCTGCTCAAGAAACTGAATTATATCCGTCAGGTGGTCAAGATGGAAATACATCATTTATAAAATCGCAAGATGTAATAGCAAGATCAACATCTCAATCCAGTCAACAACAATATTCGTCACGGTTCCAACATTATTATCCAGCACAATCGAGTCAAGAATTTCAACAACAACCACAACCAAACGTAATACCACAATAAATGCCACGACAACGATTTACAAATCGAAATATCACACCAAGACAATGCTGTAATTGTCAACAATGGGGACATATTTCATGGGAGTGTCCTCAACAACAACAGCAGCATTTTCAGTAACAGGATTATCGGATGGTGATAATGCTGAAGTATCCATAAATGCATCATCATTAGTTTGCGCAAAGGACGCGGGACGATAAGACCGCAAGTCGGCCTACTACCAAATCCATTATGCAGTAACTCATCTGATGCAGTTTTTCTTGCCCATTAAATCTATCATATTTTTAGACAATCAAAATCCTTTCCAACGCCCCTGGAAGCCTTTTGCCAACCTAAAACCTTCTTGCTTTAAACGAAATTGCCCAAAGCAATTTAATTCGCCTAACTCTTTCCCCTACAG